TAGAGGGGTTCTTCAGAAAGTATCCTGGCCATTCCCTTGCTTCCAAGCAGCACTCCTAAAGCACTCGGAGGCTTCCTAGATGCCATTCCAATGTCAGCTGGGCGAAGCTTTCACCACTGATGCTAATCTGGATTGCCCAGAGCGCTCTTTAGCATAATCCACCTGAAGGCTATCCTTAGTTCAAACAAAGAAATTACCTTTTTAATCACAAAGTTGACATCCTTCCATCACTTTCCCCCTCTAAGCCCACCACTAATTTGCTGACTTAACCTGTGGAGGCTGAAATTTCTCTGTTCTGTTCCTTGCAGGTAAGCCTTTTACGTCAAAGGCTGGGGAGCCAGAGTCAGAATTAGGAGGAGAAAAGAGCCTGTGGCTGAGTGACCCTGAACATGCTGGAACTCTGGGCCTCTGTTTCCTCTTGTCCAAATGTGAGGGAGTTGGGCATCAGGGCTTGCTATCACTCCTCTTCTGTCTCAGCCACTCTAGGCCAATGACTAATCCATCCGTACAAGAGCTAGAGATGGCCTACCTCTGCTGAAAGCAGATGGCACCACCAGAGAGCAACTGTTCTGGGACCCTGAGACCACAGATGGTCACCTGCTGCGGTGCAAGCACAGGAGGCACTTTAGTTGTCCAGAAAAGCCCAGGCTAGCTGGGGGGTGAGGGGAGAGGGCTAAATTGATGCCTAAAAGCAAACATATCTTAATCTACCAGATTTCTTTCCCAGAGCTCTGGTCCAGCAGTCTGGCCTCCCCCACACTCTGCTGTACTTCCCTGGTCAGCAGCCCAGTTGGGAAGGCCTCCAGCTGTGGACAGAGGCAGGGCTGCCAGGGGCTCAACTGCCCACTGGAGTGAAGGTGAGGAGGGAGGGAGAGGCACCAAGCATGGGCTGGAGCAGAGTGCAGAGGCCATGGCAAAAATCAGAGGGGAAAAATCACCCCCGCTAACAGCCGTGAGGAAACTGCTCCATAAGTCTTATAGCTTCTCGAGGCTGATTCAAAACACATACCAGTTAAAGGCATCTCTGGTAGACAGACCTGGATTCAAATCCTGTCTTGGCTCCTGATAAGATGTTTGGGAAAATTACTGAACTTTCCTGAGCTTTAGACCTCAGTGTATCTATAGACGTGTCTAGAATGGGGTTAACAATAACCTCTACCAGCAAGAAACTATGAGCATTAAATGAGATAAAACATATAAAAATATAGCACTGTGGGCTTCTCTGGTGGCGCAGTGGTTGAGAGTCCGCCTGCCGATGCAGGGGACACGGATTCGTGCCCCCGTCCGGGAGGATCTCACATGCCGCGGAACGGCTGGGCCCGTGAGCCATAGCCGCTGAGCCTGCGCGTCCAGAGCCTGTGCTCCACAGCGGGAGAGGCCACAGCAGTGAGAGGCCCGTGTACCGCAAAAAAAACAAACAAACAAACAAACAAACAAACAAAAAAAAAATATATATATATATGGCACTGTGCCTAGCTCATAAGCACTAGGAGCTAAAAAACACAACACAATCTTCCTAGGATTTCAACACAGTATTGGCAGGAGTCATGGTCAGGAAGAACTATAGAAAGTTAGAGCTGACAGGAACCTCAGAGACCTCGAATCCAGAATTCAGTCACTTAACAGACGGTGGCAGGGGGTGTGGTGGCGAAGAGGAGGCTCAGGGATTGAATAACTTATCCAAGAAGGTTGCACAGCTAGTTTGTAACAGCAAGGTTCAAACTCAGGTATTTCTGACTCCCAAATACCCATCACCCCTTCACCCCACACCAACCCATCTGGTCACAGACAGACCTTGCTCAGGTCTCCTTCCCACAGAGAGGGCTGTGGTGGTCAGGGAGTGGCACTCCTCGCCATAACAAGCCCCCTGGAGTAGGTATCAAGTTGGCACAGAGTGCCCCCAAGAAAACCCAGGGATTCCCTAGAAGTAGGAGCTGAGGGGAATGGGGTATCCATTACCAAGCATGTGGAGGTGCCAGGCAAATAACCTGTAAAATACATGTAAATAACCACAGGTTATTGATGTATCAACAATTTAAGTGTTTTTTTGGTAACTGGATCACACTACACCACGTGAACCATTTTTTCTCTTGGCTTTCTGCCAAGTGGAAGGAAATAAAATTTGTGGTTGACTGACCAAACCATGCCTTGCTTGGTGAGGGGCCCAGCTGACTCCTGTCACTGAATGCCGCATACATGCCTCACCAATGCTTGAGCAGTATTGCTCCCTGGTTCCCAGGCCACATCTACCTCTGACTGGCTTGTCAGGGCAGGGAGCCAGGCACATGGGGACCTCCAGCAGAAAGGTGTTCTCCCAGACCCAGCAGCCTGCTGACTCCAGCTGCCCAGAGGGCAGCAGTGCATGCTGTTCCTCCTGCGTGGGGACCTGGAGTGACCCGTCACCTCAGCCCAGCCTCCAGAATCCCAGCTTTGGAAGCTAGGCCCAGCAGCCTTTCTCTAACTCAGGAGAAAGACTCCTCTCTCAGGCACTACTGGAGTGTGGCTCTGAAGGAGCCACCTGAGCTGATAAGGGCAGTTGTGGTCAGGGCCCTGAGGTAGAATGCTGGGAAGATACAGGCCACAGCACGATGGTTAGAGGTTAGGCCCCTGGAAGGCCTGCCTGAGGCTCAACCTTGTGAGCTCTGAAAACTCATCCAATTCAATCAACATTTACTGAGTGTCTGCTATGCGCCAGACACTATGCTAGGCATTCTGGAGAATTTGTACAAACGAACAAAATGTGGCCACTGTCCATGTCACTGCACTTGAGGCATGACAATCTAGCAAGGGAGAAAAACATGTATAAATATAACTTAACAGTACTTCGACACCTCCCTGGAAATGTGGTGTGTCTTGTGTGCCCATGTGTGCGTGCATGTGTATAAGGGCATATATGTTGTTATGTAAAAGCATCAGTGTGGGGGGGGTGAGGGCGCAGGGCTTGCCTATTCAGACCCACTTTGAGCCATATGTTAACAATGATAATAAAACTACAAAATAAACCTACCACTTATGGCTTGCATATACCACCAGGTGCATTATACAGTACCACGTGCTTTATATGTAGGAGTTTATTATATTCTTCCAATCACCCTAGGAAGAAGGTACTATTATTAATGTCTCCTTTTATTGACATGGAAGTTAAAACTGAAGGAGGTTAATAAGTGACTTTCTCAAGGTCGTACAGCTAGGAATTCATAGCAAGGATTTGAACCCAGGCCTGCATTCTTAGCCTCTATGCATACTTCTGCCTTGGCCCTCCAACGATAGCTCCTGCAGACCCCCGGCTCTTCAAGGCTGGAGCAAGGAGCAACAGAAGCTGTCTTCTGGAAGAATGAGCCTGCAATTCTGCCAGCACAGCCATCCCCATCCCCACAGGACAAGGAGGGGATATTCTGTGGGCCCGTGACCTCTGTTACATCATGACCAGGCCTTTGGTTTGCCTTGGCACCCACTCAGTAGACCAGATTTCTTAAGCAGCCTTCCTATATTCACGTATCTGCATGACTTTCCTAATGTGGCAACACTTTGTTATAATCACCAGGCTCAGAGGCCCAGCCCATGCTAATGGGTTGAAATCAGGTTCATTGGTATATAGCTCAGCCACAACCTGGGGCTAATGGCAGCATGAAGGCCCCTCAGCGGCTGAGCTTACAGGGTTTCTGGGCTGCCTTCCCTGTCTTCCCTTCTCTCCTGAGCAGCAGTCTTCACCTCACCTTCCCTGGGAAACTTGGAGGTTGTGAAGGAGGTAAACAGGGCAGGAACACTGCCATCAGGGGGCTGGGACACTGGGGGAATCAGGAAGGAAGGGGAGCAGTGGAATCAAGGCTCTGCTCCCAATCAGCTTCAGGAGGTTCTCTGGATCTGTTTCCCCTTTACCAGCTCCTACTTCACCTCCCTTATAGGATCACGATGAAAAGAGGAAAAACGTGGTGCATTATAAAATCTTTGAAAAATTAAACATGTACAAATGTAATGCAAACAGGAGAAACATGGGTGCCTAGGCCTGCCTGGGCAAGTTGTCAGGTGAGGCCAGAGGCTCCATGTCCCAGGTATGGAAGCTACTCCAGGGACAGCAGGTGCCGAAGACGTCTAGAACTCCGCAGTAGAAAGGGAATCTACTGGTGAGAAGACTTAAAGAGGGGGCAAGCATGCCTCACAAGAATGTCCCAGTGAGGCCAGCACTGGCAGTGTGCCCAGGCACTGCCTGGTGACAAGATTATGGCCTGGCGGGCCCGGGGAAAGAGCCCCAATGTGGACTGGACACCTGCATGACAGGACTGCCACTATTAGGTCACCCACACTGGTGCTGCCTGGACACAGCATAAGCACCTCTGCTGTGACCAGAAAGACAACATGGTTTTGCAACACAAGAACATTAAGAGCCTGCCTCCTCCTGCCTGCAACAGAGATCCCATAAGTGGGAGTTGGGCAGAGGTAATCAGACTGTCTGAGTTCAACAGGACAGCCCTGGGGCAGGGAGCTGGCTAGCACAAGGGTATCTGCAGAACAAGAAAGAGTATCCTCAGGAAGCTTTCCCAGGTCTGGTTAGAGAAGCAGCACTCCTGTCCGCGGTGTCCCACCCTAAGCCCACCTACCAATCAGCTCTGCCCCTTCCACTTCCCTCGAACTGGTGGAGATCAGCTCATTCCCAACCAGGGCTCACTGTCTACCCCACCCCCACCCCCACCCCCCACCACCCGGCCAGGCTGAACAGGCAGCCTCAGGTTCCTTGGCTGGGTCAGGACAACAGCAGAGCTTCAGCTCTGGGGTCCTGAGCACCAAGGTTCACATTCCTCCAGCCACCCAGCCCCCTCCTGCTTCAACTTGAGTTCAGCCTGATACTGCAGGGCAGAGAGGAGAGTGAGGGCTGGGGCACAATGGCCCAGAGAATATCCAGCTTACTTGGGGTCTTATGCTCTACCTTTTATCCTCTCTAGATGGCCCTCAAGCCACCCAGCATGGGGCACAGCAGGTACCTTCAGCTGCTCTGGACTCACCTGAGCGGGATCTTGACACGAAGGTAGCGGTCGACAGCAATTGCCAGCAGGGCCAAGATGGAGCTCTGAGTGAGGATGAGGACAGGGCAGGCGACCATGAGGCAGGTGTGGAAGTAGGTCTGTGGCCCAATGTTGATGAGGATGGCAAGTGGGATGACCAGAGCGCCCACTGCCACATCAGCCACTGCCAGTGACACGATGAAGCAGAAGGTGGCATCCCGCAGTGCCTGGTTCACCTTCACTGCCCAGATCACCAGCACGTTCCCAGGCACGGAGACCAGGGCGATGAGCACCTCGATGCCAATATATGCGGCCTGGAAGGCCGAGATGGAGGGCGGCATGGTGGGCACAGGCTGGGCACATCAGCAGACAGGCACCAAGGGGCAGGAGGCAAGCACCTGTGGTCATGGAAGCCTGGGGTGGGAAGGCCTGCCTGGGAAGGGGAGGGGAACCCAGGCAGCTCTGGAAGTCCAGCTGCCCTTTGGAGATGTGCCCCACTTGGCACATCTAGTGCCTGCCCAAGCTGGTGGGGTACCCTAACCCTTTCTCTGCTGAATCTTTGTCCCCTCCCCTTATCAGTCCCAGAGGATCCATTCGACAACATAAAATAGCAGCACTCACTCCTCCACTGGCTATTTTATCAGGTGTGAGGCGGTTCCCAGCACACACTCACCCCACAGGGGTCCCCAGTGCCTGCCTCTGCCTACCCATGCCCACAGAACAGGATGCAGGGAGCTCACCATCCTGTCTGCTGGTGGCCAGGGAGTCCCAGAGGCTGTGCCCAAAGTTCCGGACACCTGGTGCCACTCAGGGCTTGAGGCCGCGCCAGGCAGGGCTGGGTTCTCAGCACCGCGCGTAGCAGCTCACGGTCCTCCAGGCTCCCGCCGCAGAGCTCCTAGCCGGGCCTTTCAGGCAATCACATGGTGCGGCAGAGGCTCAGCCCGGACGCTTTTAAAGAGGTAGCGCCCCTGTTTCGCACCTGGGACTGGTTTGGCAGACGTGGGTCTGGAGGACTGAGCCCAGCAATAAGCCAGGGTGCGCGGTCCCCTCTCCCCAGCTTGCAGCACACACATGCCCTGCTCCCACCCACCAGAGGCACTGCTGGCTCCTGCTTCCTAGCAGTCCCCGGTCCCGGTCTGGCTCTGCCAGGGACCCTCGCACACACCCTGTGCCAAGGGGGCATTCTAGTCGCCTCTTTCAACCCTTTCCTGCATCCCCACTGGGGATGACCCGGAGACAACTGAGGTACAGACTTACCCAAGGTGACCAAAGCTGGCAGAGCTCCTAGCCACCTGAACGGTTCCGTCCAAGCGCCCTCCCAGCTCCACGCCTTGGGCAGCCTCTTGCTCCAGGGATGCCTGAAGAATCCAGGGCCAGCCTGTCAGGTCCAGAGGGATGGCAGCTGTCTGGGACTCGACTCGGGCACCCGGCGCCTCCGTCGCCCACGGCGCCAGAGCTGAGTGGCAGTCGGGCTCCGCACAACCGGAGGGGGTGCGGGCGGCGGCGGCACCGCGGGGCCCCTCCCTCCTGGCCCTCTGTCTCCTCCTCCATCCCCTCCTCTAAACAAAGGCAGTGATTCTGGGTGAGAAAAGCTGGGAAATGTGAGCTTGTAGTAGGGTTTGATGTGTGAATCCTGTCTCAAGAGTGGACAGCGGTGCAGCCTCCCTGTGTTCACTCTCCCTCTCTTCTCACATGTGGGGTGTCAGCGATCCCTCCACCGGTCACAGCAAGGCATCTCACCTGCAAGACTCCAGGATGCCCCCCTTCTCCATTCCCCGCAACAGTCAGTTGGAAGTCCTGGCACACTCCCGGACCCCTCAGTCCTGAAACTCTGCTTTCCCATGAAATCAGCCCCTGCATATTCCAGCACGCATTGCTTTGCAGGCTCTATCCTGAGTAATTATGTTCCTTTCTCCTCTATCTAGTAATTTCCTTTTTACAGAAGAGGGCACTGAGGCTCAGAGAAGTTACCTAGCTTCACAAGGTCATCTACATCAGTGTCACCTCCTCGTGTGCCCCTTTTCTTTCCTCCTTCTCTTCATAGCACAGTACCTAAGCCATAGGTATCCAGTCCAATTTCCACATGTTATTGATGAAAAAGCAGACCCAGGGAAGGAAGGGACTTTCATAAGTTTCCACAGCAAATCCTAACAGGACCAGAGTAAGAAACCATGCTCCTGACTCCCAGCACAGGGCTCTCCACCACTGCGCTCCATCCTGTTCCCACTCTTGGCTGTCTCCTGCCACAGTTTCGGTTTAGGTAGGCCACTGGTATTGCCTAAGGACAACCCCACGGCAGATGCTCACTCAGACCAGGTGCCTTACAAAGATCCTGACTTGAGAAATCCTTGTTCATGGATATTGGGAAAGAGCTCTATGAGGGCGAAGAGAGTCAGGCTGGGAGACCCCAGTGCCACCTGGCCACACCCCAGTAACTGAGGTCACTGCATTCTTGTTGGGTTTCAGGATGTCAAGAGAGGAGTTCTGCTGAGAGGAGGGTGCCAACTAAAACTGCCACTTGTCATCTGCCTCTACAAGGGTTAGATCACTAGCCACTGCAGTCACTGATCTTCAGCACAGGAGCTCAGGGCAGAGATCAGGAACAAGGCACTCTAATGAGTTTTAGATTGTAATACTTGAATTATGACTAAGTGTTAAAATGAGATCTCTGGTTGTATCTGTCTATATGTCTATGTTGGCATATATGTCTTTACCTTTGATGGTATTAGCTCTACTTAATTGGCTTAAAGGAAATTAAGTGCTTATATAAATTTCTCAGAAAGGAAACTTGCCAGAATGAATTTTGTGTTCATGTGAACTGAGAAATATTCAGTATTAAAATAATACCTGGTATTAAAGTTAAAGTTTGTAGATTTAATTAATATAGATATGTCTTTAGAGTCATCAACATTAAGTGTAATACTTTTATTGTATCAATACCTAGATTTCATAGAAGTCAAATAAGATCTTATTACATCTGTTGCAAACTTGTCAGCAAGAAAAATAACTTGGTACGATGAAATTTTTATAAGTAATTTTATAAGTAAATTAAATGTAAGTGAGCTAAGAGCTTTGGGGTGAACTCTTTAGGAGTAATTATATTTTAAGAATGTCGACTTAAAAATAATCTCTCCAGGGCTTCCCTGGTGGTGCAGTGGTTGAGAGTCCGCCTGCTGATGCAGGGGATGCGGGTTTGTGCCCTGGTCAGGGAAGATCCCACACGCTGCAGAGCAGCTGGGCCCGTGAGCCATGGCCACTGAGCCTGTGCGTCTGGGGCCTGTGCTCCGCAACGGGAGAGGCCACAGCAGTGAGAGGCCCGCGAACCGCCAAAAAAAAAAAAAAAAAAAAAAAAAATCTCTCCAGATATTTGGTAACTTAAAAGTTTAGAGTTGTGCTAAGTTAAGTTAAATGATAGAAGTTTATTGAATAGCTAAGTCATTCCCAAATAAAATAGGATACTGAAACATTAATTACTGAACATTGGCTTCCTTTTACAGAGAAACTAAAGGTATTGAGGATTATTAATAAATGTATTTGGTGCCACACTGAGACATTTTCTATAAAAAAGCACATTTTCTTTTAGAAATTATTATTGGTATTTATGTTTTTCAATCTACAGAATGCTAATGTAGAAGACAGTTCCCAATTGCTTACTTTTTCGTTCTCACTAGAAATTAAGGTGTTTAAGAGTTGAGGATTCTAATTTAAATATGTCTTTAAAGCTAGTTGAAATAATAAAGGAAACATTTCAGTATGCAGCAAGAAAGTAGGGTGTGTATTTTCATTAAAGGAAGGTATGAGGAATGGAATTGCATTTCACTAAGGGAAAAGTAATTTTGTCCTAGAGCTGGTTGTTTCTGGATGGAGAAAATAAGGGACAAATTAATATGGGTAGAGAAAGTGATGGAAGGTTTGTGGGAAAGGAACCTTGAGAAGAGTTCTGTGCATGGTCAGGATTGGCTAAATTTAGAATAACTTTAATAGAGTAAATAAAATTTAAAAGTAAGTTGGTTTTTCTCTCTGTAAAGAGGACAAAGTTTTCTTAAAATGTCGATCTGCTTTTGATAACAGATTTTAAGTTTCTTTACCTTTACAGTGATTTGTTCTGTATTTATCTTTGAAATCTTTTATTGTCACTTTGGTTAAGTGAATAAGTATTATTTCACAATGACCTATGATCCTATTTGACCAAGTGTTTTAAAACCTTTTTGTTATTTTTTGACAAACTTCCCAAATCAAATTCTAATGAAGTTTCTTTGACCTCTAGCTAACTTTGGGATGCTTTAAGGGGCCCTAAAACATCCCAAAGAAAGATATTAAACTAATTAGGTTCATTTGGTATGTTAATTACATGGGAAGCATTGTCAAATGGGTAATAAATCTTCTTAGGTTATATTTTATGGGTAAATGTTTTTAATCTAGATATTCAAGAAATTATATGGAATTTCTAAAACTATGGTATGTCCTGGTAAAATGTTATCAGTCATAATTCTAGTTATTATCTTAAAATGTTGTATGTCACAGCAGTAACCAAGTTTCTTTGTCAATGACATCATATCAGGTCTTTAACTGTGCCTTCTTAAGTCTTTGTCATTCATAGACAGTTATTATTTTACACTTATGCCTGCAAAACTGCTTCCTCTTCAAGAAGACTCATAGTAAGAACTTTCTGACAAGTTACAGCAAAGCCAAATGTTAAAAAAGCCTGTATGACCAATTATATGAGTCATTAGACCAAGTTTATTGAAGCCAGACTTATTTTGCAAACAAATTAGTCAACTTGGCTGTATTTGGTAGAAATGAAGGTAATTTTAGAGAGAAAAAGATTATGTTTCAGTGGATTTTAAATTCTAAATTTGTTAATTGAGGTCTGTATTCACTGCCTAAGACTCACTTCACACATAGCTCTTTGCTGTTATGTTATATTATTGTAAAGTTTAATTGAATTATTAAAAAACACTCTAAGTTTGTTTCTGAAGCTTATCTCAGTAATATATCTTTGGATGAAGATCAGATGCCCCATGACCTGAAACCAGGGGAGTATACATACTGGAAAAGACATAATTTAAAAGACTATCTCCAACCTAGATGGAAGGACCCTTATCAAGTACTCTTAAGTAGCTCGTGCACAGCAAAACTGAAGAGAATTGACTCTTGGATTAGTATATCCTCTTAGAAAGGGCTCCTGCACTGACCCAACCTATAGAGAGGACTTCAGACCTTAAAATCACCTTAAAACAATGCTCAAGCAGAGAAGAAACTACCAGACTAGGATAAGAGGAAGACAACATCTGAAGCAGAGAGCTGACCCAAGATGCTGGACCAGTCCTCTATACCAATTACTTTGATAATTGCTCACACCTTTGCTTATGAACCAACTATATATCACAATCTTATGCAGAGTTAAAGTTCATCCAATTGTTAGGTTTATGGTCAATTACCTATATCCAGTATTTCTGGGTTACATTGGTGGATTTCTCCACTCCAAGGCTCTAATTGGAAGGCCCTTAGAGAATTATTCTAGAAGAAAGAAATTATAGCTCTGTTCATGTCATTACTGATCTGGTATTACTAGATGGGATCCCCTCACCTGGCCATTTAATAATACCTACTCTGACTCTGACCATAAATATGAATTTTCTTCTAAAGTTACTCAAGCTCAGTCAGAGCAACAATTAAAATTTCAGCCAAGGAATATAACCTCCCTCATTTGTGGGATGGATTTTATATGGCTAACACCTGGCTATAATCGTTTAAGTTTAAGGTCCCCCTTAAGCTGGGAACCATATTAAGGATAACCAGCCTAATAACACTAGGAAACTGGGTTGGGTGCTTTATGAATAAAACCAATCTATAATTTCCCTTAAAGATAAGGATAGGTACAGAATTGACTGAGATGACTGGGGATATACTGGGATGCACCTAATGGAAGTTCTTGGCATTTGTATTTTGCCTGATTTACAAAATTGTTGTTTCTTGCATTACCAAATGTATGACTGAGCCTCTGATAAAATGATGACTAGGTGACTTGAAGCAGTTGACCAATCACATAGTTCTATATGAATGATTGTAATAGTGTAACTCTAAATATGGTAAAAAGCAACAATAAGGAATCATTTCCTGGACTGTAACAGACTAGTAAGACAGGTGGTCTAGAGATGTTTGGCTACCATTAATAAGGTCTAGTCCAGTTATAGCACATTGAAAGCAGCAGGATACAAAATTAATGCACAGAAATCTCTTGCATTCCTATACACTAATGATGAAAAATCTGAAAGAGAAAT